GCTGGTGCACGGGCAGCGATCAATGTCGTGACTCGGCCCCTCCCCACCTGGAGGGCCACGGTTTTCCGCTGCGCGGCCAGCAGCAGGGAGACCTCCTCTCCGGCCAGGGCTCCCTCGTGGGGCTCTGCGGACTCGCCCTCGTCCCCAGCTGCGTCGTCCACCGCCTGCTGCTCGTCCCCCTCGGGCGCCTTGTCCTGGGCGCGGTGGGGGGGCTTCTCCCAGCTGCAGTCATGACAGGGGCGGGGTCAGAGTCCCTGTGGGAGCCACTGGTCTAGTCACAGGCGTGGGCACGGAAAGGGGCAGGGTTGGGTCTGCTGTCTGACAAAAACTGGAAAAAGTAAAGAGGTGAATGGCCCGGCCGGTGTGGCTCCACCTATGAACCAGGAGGTCACAGATCGATTCCCGGTCAGCACACATGCCCGGGTTTCAGGCTCAGTCCCCAGTAGGACGTGTGCAGGAGCCGATCAATGATTCGCTCTCATTGATGTTTCTATCCCTCTCCCTCTCCCTTCCTCTCTCTCTAAAAATTAATAAAAACCGATTAAAAAGAAGAAGAAGCAGTGAATGTTTGCAGTATGATCACCGAGCAATTAAGCACATGACCCTGTAGCCAGCCCGCCCCTCCCTCCTGGACTCCTGCCCCTGGCCCTCCTGCCCCTCCCCCCCAGTCCCTCAGCTGTGAAACTGCCCCCTGGGCCTGGTGAGCTCAGGGCAGAGCCTGGGCAGGTGCCGCCCGTGAGGAAGGACACGGGAGCTGCGGCTGGAAAGGGCGGGAGTTCCTCGGAAGCAGGCGCTTGCGCGGTTAAGCGAACAGACAGAGAGGAGGAGGGAGGACGGGAGAAGACATGGACAGATCGCAGCGTGCACACGGGTGCCCGGTGGCCCGCTCGTCCAGGCCACTGCGGCGATGCCGGGTGTCCCAGTGTCATTGCTAACTATGCCCCACCTCCCATGCCTGTCCAGGTGACAAAGCACAAGGCCGGTCCAGCTCAGGCAGCCTGCTCACTGCGGGTGGCGGGAAGAAGGGCTGGGCCGTCCGGAGAGCCGGCCGGTGGACGGACACTCACCCTCGGCCAGCCCCACCCCTGAGCCTCAGC